AAATCCGACTGGCAAAAGGCCCAGGGGGCGGCCAAGATTAACCTGGTGCAAACATATGGAAGGAATCTGTTCGAGACTGCGTTTGTCTTTTGCCGAAGCTGAGACTCTGACACAGGATCGGGAACGTTGGAAGCACTCTCTGACGCCTCTGCCTCCGCGACCCGAAAGAAGAAGCGGCGATGGAAGATGAAGATGAAGATAATGGGGTATTTTGCACGTGCGTTGGTTATACTGAGAAATAGCATAAAACACGGTTTATTTATGTACAACACAAAAATATGGTCAATCACGTAATTGGCCAGTGTCAATATTTAGGCCTGTGTCTACCAGACGTTCTTGAACGTAGGATAGTGGTTTGACTTTGGAAGTTATTTTTGTTTCGCAGCAGGCTGTTAATAGGTTTGGACGGTTTGGGTTGCTTCTGGCTTCAAACCTTGACACAAGCCGCCACGTCGTTACTGGTCAGTGATTCGATTGACTTCATTTTTAGGTTGTGCATTAATGAGCCGTGTTTTATGCTGTTTTCATTGAATGATTTTACGGTTATTTAGGAATTGCTCAATCATTGTTGAATTTAGAAAAGGATTCACAACGATTTGGCATTTCAGGTAGGTAAATTGCATGAAGGATAGAGTAAACTTAATGTAATTTGCTGCCCCGTTTGAACGGTCAGCCTTGATATCTACCATGGCTTAATTTGAAAGAGTTCTAATTTGGTTTCGATTTGCTATGATAAATGTAGACTATATAGAAATAAAGCTAAACTAGTTTGATAATTGTTCCCGAGATCATGCAGCGGAGAAATATCACTCAGAAGGGTTATATCATGACACATTAGTCTGGACAGAACTGTTACGATATATTTTCTAGTCTTGACCATCTGAACTAAATAGCGTGAAAGGGTTTATTTTCTTTCTTTGTCTATCATCGTCATTCAGCACTTCAGACCTTGCCCTTCTTGCCCATGAGTCATCGTATTCCATTCATAGGGGTTCAACGCTATGATAAAAATACTTCATGGTTTCTTCGGCGATTGTAAAATGTCCCTGCGATGTTTCTGTCCAGCTTCGTAGTTTGAATGTGCTTCACCCAGAAACATTTGCTTTGAATATGTAAAGATGTTCGTCAGCGCCAATTGCTAGAACTTTATGAACTGAGTTAACTACCGTTTCGGGATTCGCGACAGGATTTTGCAGTTACCATGGCCGATTAAAGAATATCTTACTCACTGTTTCGACGTGGCATGCTATTCTCAACTGTTGTTTACTTTCGACCACGGAAGCGCAAAAGGTGGCTTTCTGGGGAACAGTTAGAGTATATTTTGTCGAAATATTCTTGGTTAAATTGTACATGTAAAATGTTTTGCAGATTCTTTATATTTTTCAGTAATTGCAAAGAGATTTATCTTTATATACGACATTTATCTAGTCCTACAAAGAAGGGAAGTTGGTCAACGTTGGTCGGTTGGTCGGCCTTCTTTCACTTTAATGCATGAGCCATTTTGGCGCCTTTCTATTCATAAAGTTGATGGTGCGGTGCTGATTTTCGTTTCTATGTCATCAATCAGGAGTACATTACTTTTTAGGGCCGTGTCTACAACATTGTGGCAAGCGTAGCGTATAGTCTCCTATTTCCTTCCCACAATGTGGTACTCATTTATCAACCTCGTAAGGAAAAAGGCGAGTGACTCCTGTGGCTTAAACTCAAGGCCTGTCGGTTCTGAGTTCGATGCCCTACCGACTGAGCAACTCAGTTTTGAAGCAATATGTGGTAAATTCTTTGCTCAGTTGAATTCGTGGATGAGATAAAGATCGCCCTTGAGCAGAATCGAGCCTTTCACCTCTAGTATTCGAAGCAGACTCTTAGACAACTGTGCCAACAAGGCATATGTAGCCATACAAGTTTCTACGAAGATGAATATTGACACTGTTTTAAGTCTGACGATATGCTTGAAGCGAATGTTGATGAATTGAACACAAGTAGATAATTGTAATATGTAATCAGATTTAAGCGGCAAAGTTTCTTGTTAATGAAATGAATATTTTTTTAGATCGTTGTGGGAATCAGAGAGTAAAATTCGTCGATTATGTTCAAGAAAGTGACTTCGAAATCTTACCCAGAGTGACCGGTATCTTTGTGGACAGTTGTGCAAGGGATTCTACTCTTGCCCGCCAGAAGACCCTCAAGTTTGGCAGCTTTGTGGTATGCTTAAAGTTCTGAGTTATGCTTAAGTATTTTTGCTTTAATACTTAGCGATCAGGACCGAGTGTCGTCGGCGTGGTTGTTTTGGTGCGGTCGAAAGGCGATCATGATCATTTCATGCAGTTTCAGAAATTATGCTGCATCGACATGAATCTGAAACTTATCACCGCTGCGAACATCGACGAAGCGGCGGGATTCATCCTTAAGATGGTAATTTTGTTGACGCCTTACGTATTTTAGCCTGCTTTCAATCTATTAAGAGCTGCAAGCTACCTAATTGGTAAACTTTTTTCTGGTAATTCTTTGGCCATTCTAGATTGGATTCTACATAAAAGCTTCTTCATATTCAAGGAGTGATTAGAAGTCTCTGAAATCGAGCATCTTGCTTCTGATTTTTATACCTGTGCCCTGTATAGCATCCCACTATTTTCTTAAGATATTTCATGGACAATAATATTGTTACTTTAGTCAGTGCTAACAGTCAGCGGGATTTGCCATTTTCGTTCTCAGTTTCGCTTCACTATGTGTTTCAATCTTTCCGTAGGATATCGATCTGACGGTGGCAATTATTGTCACATATTAAGATGAGCGTGATTTAAGTCGTTTAGAAGTTAAGCAGCCTAATTCCATCAGAGCACAAGGTATTTTGGCACTAGCGTTTCTTGTCTTTGGATGCCTAAGGGAAGAATTTCAGCGGACTGCAACTATAGTATCCCAACTCCTTAGTGCATCCTTTTATCTCGACATCGCATCTGGATGATTTCGTGCAGCGTCTTCTGTGAAATATACTGAAGCTGAGATGTTAAAACTTGGTAATGAACAGACAGAGGCTGACGACGGCGGTTTGAGAGGTTTTTCAGGACTCAGAGACTGGCGCCTGACCCCAGAACAGAATGAAAAATTGGTCAAAGGCTTTCCTCTCGTGATGACTGGCTAAAGCTCCTCTAGCAGCAATAATGAACGTGAAAACACACAGTCGAGATAGGCCTGATTGTCACGAAGAATAAAATAATTTGAATAGCAGTTAGCATAGCGTAATTTCAAGGTAAAATTTCAGGCGGTCACCCAACAAAGATATATTCGCTTCCAGTTTTGTTAGCCGCAGATGATAATGATGGCAATTTTTCGAATGATGATGGTGTAATCTTTTGTTCGATAAGTGAATCTTATG